GGGCTTTGTTGCTTCTGAGCTAGATGGCCCTAGATTCATACTTCATACAAACTTACTTTAGTATAACATTAACCTACCTGCATGGGCACCCATCCACTTTCCAGTGCACTCTTGTGTGCACGCAGGGAGTTCATGGTCAGCAGGGGTCACTGGAGGCATCGTCTCAAACTCAGCTTTTTCTGTCACCCATGCCTTTCTGTAAACCAGTGCTCAGAATTTAAGCTCCAGTGCAGTTCCCTCCTCCGGTCTTGGGCGTGTTACTTACAATCCTTGGAACACACGGGCTGGTATGTTTTTCCATGTGGACACTGTACTGAGATGGTTGCTGGTATGGAGACAAGCTTTTAAGACTCCAGACTCTATTCTTTCTGATAGCCAGGCACCGTCTAAGGTCTCCATCGCACACTGCACCCAGCTCTTCAGTGATCTCTTCATGAGGGAAAATATTGAGTAGGGCCATGTCATAAGAATAAGTTGTTCTTGGATTAGAGCTAGGATTAAATCATCTTAATGTTTTCTTTTTAAAAAATAATTCTATTGGGGGCTCTTACAGCTCTTTTGAACAGCCCATAGATCCATTGTGTCGAGCACATTTGTACTTACGTTGCCATCATCATTTTCAAAACATTTTCTTTCGACCTGAATGAACCCTTAGCATCAGTTCCCCTTCTTTCCCTCCCTCCCCAGCAGCACAGTGTTTTCAAGGCTCATCTATGCTGTAGCATGATCACAATCTCTTTTTGCTTATGGCTGAATAATAGCTTGTCGTGTGGCTAGATCACATTGCGTTTAGCTGCTCTTCTGTGGACAGCTGCACCCACGTTTTGGCTATTGTGGACGATGATAAGATGACCACTGGCATTGGTTTTAAGCGGAGGAAGGCTGGGGATCAAAGAGGAAGGGGGTGAGGTGGGGCTGCGCTAAAAAGAAAGCAGCCTCTTATCCATGGTCGATTCTTACATGCTGCGAATTCATTTAACTCAGCTCTCCACACCACGACCCAGAGCCCGCCGGGTGGACTGTGACTCTCAGTGACCCCAAAGGATGGAGCAGCATTACCTCCTCGGATTTCTTCTGTAAAGACGACCGCTACGTCTTCCTTCTGAGGAGCAGCTGGTGGGTCTTAACTTCTTCCTTCCCAGCCAACAGGTGGCCCCACGGTCGCAGCAGGACTCCTCCCCTCGGGGTTGAAAGAGGAACAAGGTGCAAAGACCCCACTGGGCCGTTGACAGACGAAGCACAGAGGTGCATGAAGATCAGAAAATAAGCTAATTTCTCAATTCCAGAAGAAAATGAAAGTTATCAACACAGGGAACATGCTGAACAAACCTATCAGAGGAACCAAGATTTGTTAAAATTAGAATGCGCATTGTGGGTGGACATGCATATGGATGGGACTGTGTGTTAGTGATGGGTGCTAACAGGATGTAGATTGAGTCAGCAAGCGTGCTCATAGGATCTTGCCTGACGGAAATAGCTGCGTGTGCAAACGCCTGTCCACAAGGACACTGACTGCTACGGTGACTTCATAGGCAAGCTGTGTGTGTGTGTGACGGCAGAGGAAGGGTTCAGTGCATTACAAAATCCAGGGGCGATAACAACTGAGGTGGCTTTATATGTGATGCCACAGGAAGGTGAATATGAAATATTGGTGAGCCAAAAAAAAAAAAAAGCATGATCCAATTGGGGGGGGAGTTGAACCATTTTATGTGTACCAGTTGTTAAGGGTCTTCAGGTTGGCTCCTACGCATAGCAGTCTCGTGTCATGGTCCTGAGCCATCTGCGCCACCATTCAAAGCTGAACCCCTTGGTATAGCTTGTGGGTCAATCTCTGTCCTGTGATGACAGTGCAGGGCCCGACCATGTCTCCCCTGTGACGTCAGGGCTCTGTGAATTGGCGTCACTGCAGCAGCAGCAGCAGCCCTGGGAAGCAGACATGGCTCTAACCAGCCCAACGTTGCCCACGAGGAAGCACAGGTAGAGAAGCAGCAACCAGCAGCTATCAAGGGAGCCAGGTATCAGCTGCATCGGAACCTGTGCCCTTCTGCTGTGTTCTTAGCAGAATCCCTCCCCTCCCACCCACCCCCCACACACCCTATGGATCAGTGAGGAGGAGTAACAGTGGACAGATGCTTGATGCAGACCCTGCTCTCCTTATCGCACCGAATCCTCTCAATGAGCCAGTGACATGGAGTCATGATATGAGTTTTGCACAGGGGAGAAGTGGCTTACCCAAAGCCACAGAGCTAGTGAGAGGCTGAGCTGGGTGCCCAGCTGGCCCGTCTGTCCCTAGAGCCACAGGTTGATCCCATGTCCCTGGACTTCATACATATCACCAGGTCTTCCACAAGAACTCAACATCCCCAAGGATTTTTGGTGCTGCCAGGACACGTGGGATGAAATGGTGCAATTCCCCCTGGAGCTCAGGCTTGCCTGCCGCCTCTGTCCTGGACAAGGTGCTCAACTTCTTGCTCTCCTGCCCCTGTGCTTAGGGAGATAGCCCCCCCCCCCCAGGTACAACATGGGCATCTTCCTATGACATCCGGACTCTTTCCTGACCCCCATGGCCCCACCCTGACAGGCAGATGGGGAAACATGTGATTGAGTGCAGGGGCTTGCCAGGCCTGGCCCACTCCTCGGGCATCCGACTGCACCCTCTGCCCCTGGGCCAAACAGGCCTCCCCTGGCCTGCGTATGCTGGAGACTGGTTGCCATAGAGACGGCAGAGAGGTCAGTTCCATGGGTTGGCAGGTGGGGGCAGGGGAGGAGGCAGGACACCGATATGCTAAACACCCACCAACAGTCGATCAAGGCCAAGGCAGAGAGGGCAGAGCAGGGCACAAGGCTTCAGGCTCCAGGGTCTGTCACAGGGCTGCTTAAGATTCTGTCGGGCAGGCCCCTGGCAGAGCAGGTGAGGAAGGCCCAGTGGGTGATTTCCAACTGCCTGTAGGCAGGCTGGCTGGGGGTCGGGGGAGGAAGGAGGGGGAGGCTGGCACTTTGGGCCAAGTGATAGGCAGGGAGGCTGGAGGGATAAGAACCAGGGAGGCTTCGAAGGTGGGATGCAGGTGAGGGCGGACTCCTCGGCTTCTGCACTTCAAGGAGCCCTGCAGGAGGAGCAGGAGCCCCAGCAGTTAACACACACAGCGGCAAACCAAAAGAAGGGCGGTTTGACTCCACCAAACCTCTCTGCAGGAGGAAGGGGGCCAGTCCGCTGGCTTAAAAATGATCGCCTACTGCTGGGTGGACTGATTTGCTGTTCTAGCCCCTTTCACGATATAAACGAGTACTCACCGATAATACTAACGACCTAGGACGGACGCAATAGAACAATTGTGGGGTGGTACAGGCCAGGCGGCGTTTCGCTCTGTCGGGCACGGGGCCTCTAGAAGTCGGAACCGAGTGGCACCCGCCCTCTGGGGAAGTTCTACCCTGTCCTTCAGCCTCGCTGTCCGTCGGGGCCAAGGAGACTGCACCCGGTTTGCAGGGGAGGAGGAACAGGCCTTGTGGGGGGAGAGGCGCAGCCAGGGCTCTGTGGAACGTTCTGGAAGTGCTGCTGTTGGGGCTGCCTGGAGCAATGGTGACTACTTCCAGCTCAGAAGCAGATGCCCTTCCCGTCTCCAGAGCCTCAGACTGCTCATCTGCATGAAGGGAGCGGGGGTCCCCAGCCCAAGCTGGGGAGAGCGGTCCCCTGGACGGCATGGGGGCCAGTTTCCCGTTAGCGTTAGGCACTGGTTTGATAGGAGCCCCTGGTGGTGAAGCGAGGAAGTGCAGGAAGAGAAGGGCACCTGCTGCCCTTCCGAAGGGCAGCAGAGTTTGAACCACTGACCATTAAGGTGAGTAGCTGAGCACGTACTCACCACTCACCGCTCCCTGGCCAAGGAGAATCTTCCTGAGCGTGTCACGTGGGGTTGCTGGCACACACAACAAGAAGAGGTTTTAGTGGGCAGCAGGGTCCAGGGGTTGTGCAGGAAGACAGCCCCCACCCCCACCCCTGGGGGAGGTCCAAGAGGGGCTCGGAGCTAGGTTTCGTCTCTGGTCCCACCCAGGGGACCCTCGGGCGTGGTGAGAGGGGGCTGCCCCAGAGCCAGCAGCAGAAACCTCCCAGCGCGGGACAGAAAGCCAAGAAGGACTGGCAGCCCCTGGGCCAGAAGCAAACACATGGCCCTGCCCAGACTGAGGAGTGAGTAAGTGGCTTGTGGACGCGGGCAAGGAAGGAGGGGAGGTGTCTGGCACCCCAGAGCCGACACCAGGGGCCCTGACCCCCACCCCCTTCTCTCCCAGCCTCTGCCCTGCTGCTACTCGGAAGTCGTCCTTTCCCTTCCAGTGGGCCTGGGAGAGTTTCACCTTGGATGGCCAAGCCACACTTCGGTCGGGTTCCCCTGTGGCTTCTAGCCCCCGAGCCCAGCCAGCCCCAAGTACCCGAAGCCTGCCCTTGCCCCAAGGGGGCCCCCAGAAGCAGCCCAAGTCCAGGCGCAAGTCCACAGCCAGCATCTCCGAGCCACAGGCCCCGGAGAGGAGCAGACAGCCGGAGACCAGGAACCACCGAGCGGAGCACCGGGGGCCGGTGCGGCCCCGAGACCGTGGTCCCTGGCTGCCCCCAAAGACATGGGGCCCCGAGTGTGAGGAGGCGGCTGAGCCTGAAGCCCTGGGCACTGAGGAGGCCGAGCAGGGGCTGAGCCCCCGGGAGCTGCCCCAGCTCCCCGTGACTGGGCTGGCCTGGGAACAGGAAGAGGCAGAGGGAGCCGAGGAGGAAGGCGGGGAGCCTCCAGCCTTCCCCAGGAAGAGGGCCCGGTCTCAAAGAAAGGGGCGGCATTCTGGTGAGGAGAACTCCAACAAGGGTGACCAGCAGGGCGACTGCCCCAGCCCCAGCGGCCTCAGCAGGGAGCAGAGAAGGAGGTCAAGGGCCAAGGAGCTGGAGGGGCCCTGGGACCTGGAGAAGCTGCACAGGCAGTTACAGCAGGAGCTGGAGGAGAAGGGCCTCTGTGGTGAGGAGCTGCCTGTGGGCAGAGCAACCAGGGAGCTGGGCTGGTGCCCCAGGGGATGGGGGTGGGGGAACCCCTGGGGAAGTGGGTTGTCTCTGACTTGGCCCCTGTGACTAGGCCCCCAAAAGCAGCCCTGGAAAGTGTTACGGGCCGCTCTCCAGGCAGCTAGCCTCAGTGGGAAGACGCCTGCCCTGGGAGATGCTGAGCCGTCCCTGTCTATCAGTCTCCATAATCGCACCTTCCACAAACGACAGGAAGCCACCAGGTAAGGGGGAGCAGCGGGGAGGGCCGCGGGGGCGGTGCAAGGTGACTACTCACTTCTCCAAGAGACACTCAACCACTCATCCTTCCACCTCCCGTCCACCAATCTCTCTGATCCATGATTCATCCATTTGCTCATCTACCTATCCCCTACCTCCCCTTCATCCATCCAGCTACTGAGCTCACAGTTCCGCCGACCCTCCCATCCACGCGGCCCATCAGCCCTTCGTCCACCTCTCCCCATTTACCACCGTGCCCATCCCACCATCCGTCTCTCCTGTGGCCTTGTCCGGTGATGCAGCCACATTTCACTCACTGCCCATCACGCTGTTATTTTAGTGAAGAATGCAACACAGAGTGAATAACCGGCCAGGGGGAGAAACTCAAATTCTGAAAGGCCAGGGCAGCAGTTGTTAGATCAAACTGCCCCACGTGGGATGACGGGAGTGGGGAGGAAGCAGCGGAGGGGCCCAGCTGGAAGCGGTTGGTGTTGCGCGGGTGAAGGGCGATTAGCACCCGAGGGAGCAGTGGTGGCTGTGGACGGCCTAGGCGGGCAATGGGGAGTCACGGGTGAGGGAGGGGGAGCAGTCATTCGGCAGCGTGCTATCCTGCTGTCAAGGTGGCTGGATGAAAACTCGGTCAGCCCTGGAGCAGAGGGCACGGTGGTTTCTGCAGCTGTAATCTCTCGGGAAGCAGCCAGCCACCTCGTTCGCCCCCCCCCCCACGCTGAGACTGTTAACCTGTGGTTAGCCACCCAGCGATGACCCTACACCACAGGGATCTCGTGGCGTGCACAGCACACCTCTCAAGTCTTCCCCTGCCACCTTCTCTTTGGGATCCCTTCCTGCCTTCAAAGCCCTTCGGACAAAGCCTGGATGTTTTGTCCCCCATGCCAGCTGGCTCAGAGACTAGAATGTCCCATGATCTCCTTCCTCACCCAGGACTTCCCTTCTCCCACCTTCACTGGGTAGCTCTCCACCCCCAAGTCCCACACTCTCCCTGGAAGCTGTCTCAGCACGGGTCACGTCCCACCGCACTGGGGTGCTGTCTGCTTGCTTTGGGCACAGGTTGGGGGACTCCCTGCAGGCAGGTCCCAGATCTTCTTACTCAGCCTGCCTGGCACCCCACACTGCACCCTGCACCCGCTGGTGCTCCATGGAGCCCATGCCACGTGAAGGCACGCATGTGTCCCTTTGTCTGGCCATGATTCAGCAGGTAAGGGTTCTGTAGAGCAGGCACTGAGCCAGGGGTCAAGGAGACGCTGAGTGAGCTGGGTGAAGAACCCTGCTCTCGTGGAGCTTACAAGGTTTCATTGTGAAGATCATAGATTGTTTTATTTTTTATTGAATAAACATATACCTAGAGAGGAGGACCCGCAGCAAGACGGACTGACCCTCAGTGGACAGAGCAAAGACGGCGAGGGTGGCGCAGGACCAGGCAGTGTTAGGTTGTGGTGGGTTGGAACGTGGAACACACCTGGGAGGCCACTCCCGGTGAGGCGGTCAGGGAAAGTGGTCGACAAGAAGGGGCCAGCCATCAGATCTGGGGAAAGGATAGTGAGGGCAATCTAGCTGCCGTCGGTCCACCCATCTGCCCTGTCACCACTGCTCCTCTTCCCCACGGATCCGTCCATCTGTAGGTCCGTCCACCCAACCTTCCCGTCAACAGGTAGGCATCCACCGAGCTCTTGCCAGACACGGGTCGCGGAGAAGAACATGACAGACTGCCCCTGTGGCCTTGAGGACGGTTGCCTGGGGAGGGGGGGCCGGCCATACCAGGGGGGTGCCAGGCTGTGTGTGGTGAGCAGAAGTTCCCATTTCAAGTTCATGACTGATCACACCGAAGAAGCCAGGCTGACTGTGAGTGGCCCTGTAGGACAGGCTGGAGCTCTAATCCCCATGACCTTGGCGCTCTTAATTCTTCTCCATGGGTCCCCATACTCCCCCTATCCGTCCCCGACCCTCCTCGAGGCCACCCCCATCCTTCTTCCTCTTCCATCTCCACCGAGGAGCCTGCTGCAGTCCTGGGAGAAGCAGCAGGAGGAGGAGCGGCAGCGGGCCCTCCTGCGGCGCGCCCGGGAGCAGCAGGTGAAGCAGCAGGTGGCTCGCTGCCTGGCAGCCTACGCGCCCCGAAGAAGCCACGGGCCGTCGGCTGCCCAGCGCAAGCTGGAGGAGATGAGGTAGGGGGTCCAGGGCTCGGAGGGGCTGGCAGGGAGCCCGAGAAAGGGTGCCATTGCAGGATGGAAGAGACCCAAGACCCTTCCCTCAGCGTTGAGCCTCCACAGCCATCTTAGCATTTCAGCTCACGATACAGACTGCCCTGCGCGCGCACACACACGCATGCCCGGGAGGGGAAGGGGCGGGTCCCAGGTCCCCCAGTGAGCGATTACCACCCTTACACCCTGCTCCTCTGATGCCAAATGCTGGTGCATATTGTAGTCACGCTGCAGTGGGGCAGGACAAATGCTTATCAGAAGTGACCAGTCCTTGGGCCCGCTCTGGGGACACCTCTGTTCACGGTCAGGCATAGTCACCGCCCGCATTTGCCCCTGGTGCAGTGGTGATGGGTTGGGTTGCCATCCGCAAGGTCAGCAGTTCGAAACCAGCAGCTGCTGCTCAAGAGAAAGACGGGGCTTTCTACTCGTCCAGTGTTCAGTCTCAGAGACCCACAGGGGCAGTTCTATCCCGTCCTATAGGCTCGCTGAGAGTCGGCAGCGACTCAATGGTAGTGTGTGTTTCCTTTTGGGGGGGGGAAAGCAAACTTGATGTCAGGCCAGTCTTTCTGCAACTTCGAGCAGGCCTGTGAGATGATTCAGAGGGGGGTCCTCACCTGCGTGGAGACCGGGCTTGGTTCCCGGCCGCTGCCTGGTGGGCAGCCGCCACCTGCCGTCCAGCGTGTTGCTTTGATGCTGAGCAGGGTCAGGACAGCCTCAGTGAAGGCAGGCTGGGAAGGGAGGTGGTGGTTTATGCCCTAAAGCCAGCCAAGAACCCTATGGGCCACAATGGCATCTCAGCCGGCCGGCCGACCCCTGCCACCAAGAAGGGGAGGGCCAGACAGCAATGTGTCTTCCTTTCCTTCCTGACCCGGGCAGGGGCAGCCTCCATTCTCGGTTTCTGAGAAGAGGGGTGCTTCTTACTCCTAACAGAGTGGCACAAGGTGCCAAGCAGGAAGGACTGCATGACTTCTCAGGAAAGGCCGGCAGTGGGCCAGCTCATGCCCTGCCTTCTCAAGATGGCTGTTAGGCCCCCAGGTGTGGGAAGCCCCATTGTTCAGTTACTTCCGTTCCTGGCCCCTGGGGGGCACAAAGGGTGTGCTCTTGGCTACTAACCCCAAGGCTGGCGGTTCAAAACCACCAGTTGGACTGCAGAGGAAAGGCCTGTTGATTTGTTTCTCAAAGTATTACAGCCCAAATCTAACGGAGCTCAAGTCTCATGAGGGGGCCTGGCGGTTCAGCGAGTTAAGCACTTGGCCACCAGCCAGTCAGTTGGAGGTTCGAACCCACCTGGCGGCTGGGTTCGAGAAAAGACCTGGTGTCTGCTCCCATCAAGAGGCAGGGTGGGACATGCTCCGTGACCCGTGACCTGTGGCTACCAAGGGGCTCCAGCGTAGAGCCACCCTCCAGGGGTTTCTGGGCTGTAATCTTTGCAGAAGCAGGCTGCCAGGCCTTTCTTCCATGGGACTGTCCGCTGGTCCAAGCCACTGACCTTTGGTCACATGTGGCACCCGGGAACTCAACTCCACCAGAAAGGAGACGTCGGGACCAAATGTCTAGAGACCCTGGCGAGTTCCCAGGTCAAAGTCACACAGCCAAGAAGCACAGCCTCCTCCCCGGAGCTGCAGGGGCGTGGGACTGTGGAGCCTGTACAGGCACATGTTCAGGAGTCTGTGCTGGCTCCTCCCTTTTTGGTGGTGGGGTGGTGGAGGCCGGATGAGCTCTGGCTATACAGCCTAGAAGCCCTCCGCTTCCCAGCGGAGTAGTCCTGGACAAGTCCCGCAACCCCCCTGTGGCTCAGGGTCCTCAGCAGTACCACGGGCAAACACTGCCTACCCAGCAGACCTCACGAGGAACGAGGGCAGGATGGGGGGACACGTGGCTTTGTCAATGAGGGGCAAGGGCAGAAGAGTCCGACTGTGGGCGGCAGGCCTAAGACTGGGTGGTTGTGGCCCCATGGGACTGCAGAGTCTGGGGAAGATTAGCCGCCCTGAGGCCCGTCTCTCACACAGGCGCCAGGAGCGGCAGCGCTTCGCTGAGTACCAGGCAGAGCTGCAGGGCATCCAGCACAGGGTGCAGGCCCGGCCCTACCTGTTCCAGCAGGCCATGCAGGTGAGGCCTACCATGCAGGTAAGACCAGTACCTGAGCAAGCACGTGACCTCCCCTGAGAACAGAGCCCCACCCTAGGCGAGTGGGGTGGAAGGTGAGGTGGGGAGTGGGACCCCAGAATGCTCCCCAGTGACCTCGGTGACCCTGATGCAGGGCAGGAACCATCTGCTCTTCTCTCCAGGCCAACGCCCGGCTCACTGTGACCCGGCGCTTCTCCCAGGTGCTGTCAGCGCTGGGCCTGGATGAGGAGCAACTGCTGGCTGAGGCCGGAAAGGAAGACACCGAGGGAACCTTCAGAAAACCCAGGTGAGGCAGTGGTCGGTCCGCCCGCCCATGAGCTAGCCAAGCTGGGGAAAGAGGACCAGACAGCAGTGCCCTGAGCCCTTCAGGCTCCTTCCTTCCCCACCTGGCTCAGAGCTGGACATCCAAGGGGACCCCAGGCTGAGGGAACCTCAAGGGCAGTCACACTGATCAGCCCTGAGCCTCAGTTCTGCCCTGTTCCATACTCCTCACTCCTCCTCCTGGACGGCTGGGCTTAGCCCAGGATCAGCAGGGCCTTCCTTAGGCCCTCCAGCTGGTCTTCACGTCACTGGAGGAAGGCAGGGCCTTGCCAAAGGACATGGGTGCGCAGCAGAGCCCGTCTGGAGCTCTGTGGCTGTCTGTGCAGTCACCCCCAGCTCCTGTTCTGGGCCCTGTGCACATCCGCCCTGACTCCTTAGAATCACCTGGGCAGGAAGGCTCCTGAGGCCCCCTTCCCAATAAGGAGGAGGAAAGTCACACAGCACCCCGGTACAGGCGCTGAGATTTGAACCCCCACTGTCAAAGCTAGGCCTTTTCTCTCATAGAGCCCCGCTTTGCTTGAGCATGGGGAGAAGGGAGGGTGGGCGTGGGGGGCTGTGGCGCCCAGCTGCCTCCATCTGTGTGGTGTCCTTGAAGGAGTCACAGGTCAGTAGGGGTGAAACTGGAGCCACCTTCTCAGAGACCCTCAAGGATGGAACCCAGACCCCCCAGCAGCCACTCTGACAGACCCTCGACCCCCAGTCTGGAACCAGCGTCCAGGCCCCAAGACACCAATTAAAGGATTTATGAAAAATGCACTGTGGGTTTTCTGGGGGCGAGGGCTAAGAGGGGGAGGGGGGGAGGGGTGGACAGTGAACTTAGCCCAGTACTGTTGCACGGCCCCCCACCTGCTTCCGGAGCTTGGGTCAGCCTGAAGAGCAACAAGGTGAAGGTGCCCTCTCACCCTGGCTGGGAGGCGGAGTACTAACACGGGCGGCAGCCCAGAATCCTCGGTGAACCGAGTGGAGTGGTGCTGTGAATGGGGTGCAGAGGTCACACGTGACGCGTGCTCAGTGGGGTCCGGTCTGCCACTGCGGGGTGGGAGGTGTCAGGAGCGTTGTATGGGCGGGGCCTACGACCAAACTCATCTCCATCAAGTGGACTCTGGGTGGCTCTACAGAACGGGGTGGAACAGCCTCCTGGGGGTTTCCAAGGGTAGAAAGCCTCTTCTTTCTCCTGCGGAGAGGCTGCTGGTTTCGAACGGATAACCATGCCGTCACTGGTCCAGACACGATCT